TCTAGTCTGTGCCATCTGAACATACTCTTTAAACTTCTCGAAAACCTCATCCTTACCTTTAATTAAGTAAACGCAAACAAACCCTGAGAAATCATCTATGAAAGTGGCAAAGTATCTAAAACCATCATGCGTCACTGGAGATATCGGCCCACACACATCCGAATGTATTATCTCTAATATGCTCTTACTTCTATTCCTAGTTCCAAAACTTTTCTTTGTCATCTTTCCTTTTATGCAAAATTCACAAAATTCATTGCCATTCAATTTCATATCATCAATACCATCTACCATTTTCTTACTTATTACCTTACTTAAATTAGAATAACCAATATGACCATATCTCCTGTGCCACAACTTTACTCTTTCATCTTCTAATTCTACATTTAAACACTCATGTTTTCCCAATTTAAAACTAAGTTTATAGAGGCTATCCCTATAACTTATAGCTATCAAACCTTGTCTATGCCATAATTGTACTTCACCATTTTCAAATACAGTCGTTATCTTGGCCACTTCCAAAGTCTTTACAGATAATAGATTTCTTCTCAATTTTGGCACGTAGAACACATTTTGAATCTTACATCTAAATTCTTTTCCATTTACCTTACTTACTATATTTATATTTCCTATTCCTATCGCTTCTATATAACATTTATCTTTAGCAATTAAAATTTTTATAGGATCTTTTAGCATAGTTAGATTTGAAAAACAATCCTTTTCTTTCACTAAGTGATTTGTACATCCCGAATCAACAAAGAATGTTACATAGTTCTCACTTACAGTCTCTTGATTCTCGTAGTTGTCAACCATAAAGCAAATATCGTCTCTTTCCTGTTCTCTATTTTGTTGGTTACACTCAGTATAATTTCCTTCTTGTCCTCTGTACCCGTGTTTGTGTTCTCCATAGTTCCTTCCTCGACTATTTTGGTATCCTCTTCCTCTTCCTCTGAAGTTCCTTGGATACGAATTTCTAGTTCCTCTGTTTGCATTATATTGATGCGTTGTTCCTCTTGATTGACCAAATTTAGACATTCCTCTGTAGTTTTCAAAATTTCTTGACTCTGGTTTGCATTGTTTCTTACAATCTTTTATAAAATGTCCATGTTTCCCACAATTAAAGCAAGATCCATGCTTATACGACACAAAAGCAGAAGGATATGACGTTTGCTCCATGCATCCACTCTTGTCCAATTTTCTTTTCTCTTCTTCAGCCCTTAACTTTGATTTTACAAAATTAAATGTCAAAGTTTCTGCTGGCATATTTTCCAAAACTGTAGTTACAGTTTCATAGGACTTTGGCAATGAAAGAAGCAAGCTACAAACAGCATCTTCCTCTTTAATTTCGACACCTGATGTTTTTAGTTGTCGCAATGTTTCCTCAAACTTTAAAATAAATTCTTGCAAACTTTCTCCATCTTTTAACTTCATTCCCATTAATTTCTTTCTCAAAAGTAACTGTCCTGGTAAACCTCGTTTCTCATACATCTCCTTTAAACTTTCCCACATAGCATGTGCTGTCTTTTTATCTTTAACAATATCTATTTGATTGTCATCAATGCATTGGACAATTATTGATTTACATGTTTCATCTTGCTGTTTCGCTTCTTTCTTTTTCTTTAGATCAGTATAATCTTCTTCTTTAAATTCGTTGTTAATTCTTTCCACAACATCTTTTTCATTAAGTAACGGAATGACCCTACATTTCCAAGCGTGGTAATTATTTCCATTTAATGGTTCAATATTTAGATAATTATTCTTATTATTATTAGCCATGATTTTACTTTTACTATATGCAACCACGTGTATGATTTTCCTTTTAACCTCGTATTTTCTAATCCACCTGAATCCCATGTACTGGGCCCATAACCTGTTATTTTAGGTTGTTAGGTAATGCAACTTACTCAGCATGTGTGCTTAAATGTAATTATTTATTATTATATCACAGTAATTATATTCAAACTTTAATTTACGCAATGCCTCTTTGTTCTCACACATCACACATGGCTTCCAAGGATCTGCTTTTTGTGCGCGCATTAGAAGAAGGCAGATTCACATTTATTCACCCTTAGTATATATAGATAAAAGGTATTACATACCTTTAATGCATACAATAACGCGTAGAAAGAGATAGGAATAGAGCGCAGAATAAAGAGAGATAGCACTACGCATAGACTGAGACAGCGATACGCGCGGAGTCACGTACACTCCGGTCAAAGTCCAAACACTTCCGGTATCGAAAACGCGTGTAGAAAAAACTGCTACATAAGCAAATCTCGGGTATAAATACGAGCGTGCCGCGAGGAGCTATTTCACTTCGATTCTGATCGTAGTCCGACACGGATCTATGATACGATTACTACGTAGGTTTCCAGTAGCTTAGATTCTTTTGTCGGCAAAGCGGCAAAGGTTCCGCGTCAGACCCGGAGCGCTCGACCACCGATTCGCAGCGGTTTAACGAGCGAGCGAAAGCCGAAGCTCCTTGGATGCGGCCTATTAGTACACTGGCTCTAGAGCGACGATACCGTCCTGCAGTGTTCGCAACCAAGCTTAACGAGCGAGCGAAAGCAGAAGCTCCTTGGATGCGGCCTATCAGTGACGGCTAAGTTGCTCAGAAATCGTACTGCGGCCGAACGGGTTAGCTCCTACAGTGTCGGAACGGATCCACGCCAACTCCCCGACAATCGAACAATTTATTTGAATAAATTTTATTTTATAAATTCAAGTTATAGATTTAGAATTTTCATAATCGTATCTAGAGACGCGTTCACTAATCAATTAAATTTTTTCTTTGTATTTTATTTTAGGTCAAACTATTTTGTTATTTTTCTTTGTAATTTTTTATACAGGGCGCACTCACTGTACTTAACTAATATAATTATTTTCCTTTTGTATTTCAAGAACAGGGCGCAACATTTGTACACTGATTACATTAATTCTTTATATTATTTTCATCACCTTTTTATATAACTCAAATAATTACTTACCTTTTCTTTTTATATACATATTATAAACAAACACATTACACAACTTTCTTGAATAAACACGTTATATTTTTTTTTGAGAAAGGAATTAACGTTGGATTTCACTCCTTTACCGCGCACCACCCGAATCTATGATTCCTTCATTATATAATTATTTACGAGACGCCTTCTTATAGGGAACCGCTCTCCCTACGCAGTAGGTGCAGTAGCGTACTCGCGATAATAATTCCGGGACGTTACAGTAGGATAAATAGAGAAGAGATAAGTGTAAACTGGAATTATCGTTTCTTTGTTTACAGGTAGGAGTGTAAATAATGTAAATAATATCAACTAGTACTATAAGGCAATGAATAAAACCTTAAACTTTGTTTACAGAGAAACACATTTTCAGTTTGACCACCCACCTCCCTAACTACCAGAATAAAAGAACTTATATATATACATATATATACAGGGTGTCCCAGAACTGGGGTAGGAACGGAAGAGGGATGATTGGTGAGGTCATTCTAAACAACTTTTTCCTTTGCCAAAATGTTGGTTAAGGCTTCGTTTTCGAGTTATTATCGAAAAACACTGGCCAATCAGAGCGCGCCGTTAGCGCGGGCCGAACCACGAGAGTGTTAGGTATATTCCGCGCGGTCGTGATCAAGTGCATCGGCATCACGTCAGTGTAATAGGATTCGTTGTTCATGAGTAATCAATAATTCGATACAATTATTCTTCTCTTTTTTTTATTCATTATCCGATGCAACTTCCACTCAACGAATCCCATCATACCGACGTAGTGCCGAGGCACTTGATCACGACCGCGCGGAACATACCCAACACTCTCGTGGTTCGGCCCGCGCTAACGGCGCGCTCTGATTGGCCAGTGTTTTTCGTTAATAACTCGAAAACGAAGCCTTAACCAACATTTTGGCAAAGGAAAAATTTGTTTAGAATGACCTCACCAATCATCCTTCTTCCGTTCCTACCCCAGTTCTGGAACACCCTGTATATACAGATATGTATACAACGTCAATGATTTAAATGATATTATTTAGTTATTTTGCTTTAAACTTACTGTATAAGATCGAGTTCGAGAGTTTTTTTTTTGCATTCGAGAAGCCGGTTCGGTTGCAGGGATTGGCGGTGAGACGGAAAGCAATGAGATCGAGTTTGAACAATTCACAAATGTTTATATTTACAAAGGTATTTACACTATTTACAGTCTTGTTCGTCGAACAACGTGAATCGAGATCGAGATTGTCTACTCACACGCGTCGCGCAGAGTTGAGATCGAAATTGAGATGGTTTAAAGCCACGTGTTGGCGCAACACGTGGCCACCATGAAATTGTATTAATTTCGTGGATTTTGTCGAGATTGAGAATTACGCAGTTGCTTCGACCGTTGGCTACAAAAGGCGCGTTTACCTTGCGAGTTTGAGAGTTGAAATTGAGAATATGCAAGAGAAATTTGTAATCGTACTTCACACGTGGCAGATGCTACTCGAGACCGAACGATAATGGCCGCTCAACCAGCTTCGTCGCAGCGAGAACCGTTGGCTTTCTTCTCGCTGACGTAACGCATGCTGATTGGTCGGCCAGACTGGCATCCAAGGTGGCTGCCGGTCGCGCTGCAGAGTGCTGCCGCGGTCCGCGTGATGGCGGTAGAAATTACATTTTCGAACACTTACTTTAACTTTACTTTACGAACTTTACTAAAAACGTCTATATATATATATATATATTGTTGCGACGGTGAGAAGTTTCCGCTCTTTCGATGCATCGACTGCTTCTTGATGTATCGAAAGAGCCATCGACTGCTCCGTCCGAAGCTGTCAACGAATCACGATGTGAAGCTATTCCAAGTTTCGAGCGGAAACACGTCACCGGATGCTTGAGGTCTCTTAGACAACCGCGCGGCTTTTGATAATCAGAATGTTTCGGGAACCCGACCTGTACGGATCTATTGCTTAAGAACTCCTTTGTAATCGAAATATAGACAGTCTAGTTTGCTTCGTCTCTATTTATTTTACGATGGAAAGTGCTAGCTCCACTCCCCGGCGCAACATTGGCGCAGTCGGTAGGACAATTAGAACCCGGTCTTCAGCCGGGGATGAGGTTTCTCCCGAAACTTTGGAGACACTTTTCGAGGGCCTGCAAAGGAACATCTCCATGCAGTTTAGGGAGCAGCAGCGCGATTTTAATGCTCGTTGGGAAAAGGAGCGCTCTCGCGCAGAAGAGAAACAGCAAGAGGAAAGAACGGCTTCTTCAGCGATTCAGAAGGCGTTGGAAGAACGGATGGCAGCGATGGAAAGCAGTTATCAGGTTTTATCGTCCAATTTTCAACTATTTTTAGAAAAATTTTCGGCCACGGCAGTCCGTGATGGGGATCGCGAGGCCCTTCTTGTTAATCCTTCCACTTCTGCTGGTCTCGCGATACCCCAGCCTTCACCTCCGGTCTCTCAACAGGGAGTGTCTGGTGTGTCGCGGAACGTTTCCGATTTAGGCTACGTTCTGAAACCACCAAAGTTTGAAGGTAAAACTAACTGGGAGGAGTTTAAACTCCAGTTTGAGGCGATTGCAGGGGCAAATCGTTGGGATGAGCCAAGGAAGGCCTTGGCCTTGGTTGCATCACTCGAGGGACCGGCGCGGAGTATTTTGACTTCTCTTTCCGTTGAAAAACAGACTGATTTTCCCGCGTTAATTTCGGCCCTTGCGTTCCGTTATGGAACGAAAAATTTTGAGAACCTTAATTATGTGAAGTTCCAAAATTATAAGCAACGGAAAGGGGAATCTATTTCCGATCTAGCCACGGAGATTGAGAGGCTGGCACAGGCCGCTTTTTGCGAATGCCCTTTAGAAATTAGAGACAAGCTTGCCGCCTCACAATTTGTTTCCCCACTGGCTAATGAGGAAATGAAACGGATGCTGAGGCTCGGGGGTTTCACATCTCTCAGGGCTGCTGTTATCAGGGCTCTGGAGATTGAAGCAGTCGAGTCAATGGCTAATGCATCCGATATAAAAAAAAAAAAAAACATTTTCTAAACCGTTTTATTCTTCGGAGAGGGTTTCCGGAAGAAGAGAAATGAGAAGACCGGCAAAACGGAAACTTGAAAAACAGGAGATAGAATGCTGGAATTGCAAGGAGAAGGGTCATATGTGGCGGAATTGCCCGAAAAAGAGAAAAGAAGAGTTTTCAACGAAGAAGGGAAACGGGAAGAAGTCGGCGTAGAGGGGCATCCTCCGGCTTCACCTTTGTCCGCCCCCGTCGTACGAAGAGTTGCCGGAAATGTTTTGTCCTGCGTCGAGGGATTCGTCGCAGAAAAGAAGTGCCCCATAATACTTGACACGGGTTCAAGTTTAAATCTACTGGATGTAAAGAAGTTTGGAAGTAATAACGAATTTGGCGCGGTGGGAACGGAAAAACTCTTTGATCCCCAAATTTTCTCCATCTCTGGGGAAAAATTACCGATTTATGGAAAGCAGCGATCCTTGGTAACAATCGGGACTCTGAGCACCGAAGAAGATTTCCTCCTTATCGATATGGCAGAACAGTGTATTCTGGGAACGAATTTCCTCAATAAGCATTCTTGTCAGCTGGACTTTATCTTGGGAAAGCTTTGTATAAAACACCATGGTGAAGTTGATTTTCTAAGAAGTAATTTGATAAAAAAACCGTTGGCATTTGGCACAAGAAGGGAAGAGGATTCCGTTCCGGAGTATCTTCAAGAATTGTGCATACGCAGCGGAAAAGATTTGAATGAAGAGCAACGGTTTATATTTAGGAATTTGCTTCTTGAATTTAAAGACATTTTTGCCAAAAATTCGGAAGAAGTAGGAAAATGTAGTGTAGTCCAGCATAAAATTGACACGGGAACTTGTTCGCCGATTAAACAACCCCCACGACGTTTACCGTTACACCGCCGAGATGAAGTTGAGGAACTTCTTACGAAAATGGAACGGCAAGGGGTGATTGAGAAGTCAAAGAGTCCATGGTCTTCGCCAATTGTCCTGGTCAAGAAGAAGGACAGGAGTACCAGGTTTTGTGTGGATTATCGTCGTCTCAACGAGGTTACAAAAAAGGATTCATATCCGTTGCCAAGGATCGAGGATACTCTGGATGCGGTGGCCGGTTCAACGTGGTTCACGACGCTGGATTTACAAAGTGGATATTGGCAGATCTTAGTTGATGATGAAGATAAGGAGAAGACCGCCTTTTGCGTTGGCACAGGACTATGGCAATTTAAAGTCATGCCCTTCGGACTTTGTAACGCTCCAGCTACTTTCGAGCGTTTGATGGAAAATGTTTTACAAGGATTGAACTGGAAGATTTGTCTTGTTTATTTGGATGACGTAATCATTTTTGCGAAAAATTTCGATCAAGAGATTGAGCATATAAAAGTTGTATTCTCCCGCTTGCGCGACGCCAAACTTCTACTGAGCCCGAAGAAATGTAATTTCTTTTGCCGGGAGGTCAGGTATTTGGGGCACATAGTCTCTGAGGATGGAGTGAAGACGGATCCGGAGAAGATTTCAGCGGTACAGAATTGGCCGATTCCGAAGAACAGGACTGAACTGCGAAGTTTCCTGGGTCTCTGCTCCTACTGTAGGAAATTTGTGAAGGGTTTCTCTTCCATTGCGAAACCTTTACATCGTCTGACTGAAGACAAAGTGCTTTTCCGTTGGTCAGAAGAATGCCAAGGTGCTTTTGAAGAATTGAAGAGACATCTTGTGGAAGCTCCAATTCTAGCCTATCCACAACATGAAACGGATTTCATTCTTGATACGGATGCGTCAAATGATGCAATTGGAGCAGTCCTCTCTCAGTTCCAGGAAGGACAAGAGAAGGTTATAGCATTTTTCTCTAAAACATTAGGGAAGGCTGAGAGGAATTATTGTGTGACTAGAAGAGAGTTGTTGGCTATTGTAAAATCCATAGAACATTTTCATCATTATCTTTATGGACGAAGATTTCTGATAAGAACTGATCACGCTTCTTTGAGATGGCTACTCTCTTTCAAGAATCCCGAAGGGCAGACTGCGAGGTGGATTGAACGTTTGCAAGAGTATGATTTTGAAATTAAGCATCGAGAGGGAAAGAATCACGGAAATGCAGACAGTCTTTCGAGAAGACCCTGTGAAACTGCACAATGCAAGCCTTGTACTCGTCTGGAGGAAAAGGAACAGAAAAAGGGAAATCACATCCTCAGAACGGTTTGTAAACCTGAGAATTTTGAAGAATGGATAGAAGATCAACAGAAAGACGAGGATATAGGTTTTATTTACGAAAGAAAGAGGGAAGGTCATAAACCGGATTGGCAGGAGATTTCCGCTCTTTCTTCTGGGGCAAAGTTTCTCTGGGTACTTTGGGACTCTTTGGAAATTCATCAGGATTTGTTGTTTCGAAGATGGGAGTCCGTTGATGGAAATGAAGTGGATAGACTATTGATTGTACCGAAGAGTAAAGTCGAAGAGGTTCTTCAGGAATGCCACAATGCGTCGTCTGGAGGACATTTCGGAATACGTAAGACCCTGGCCAAGGTTCGACGGCGGTTTTTCTGGCTTAATCACCGAAGAGATGTGGAAGATTGGTGTCGACGATGTCATCGTTGTACGGCGAAGAAAGGTCCTTCGGGGAAGGGAAGAGGACTCATGAAGGTCTACAACGTAGGGGCACCTTTCGAGAGGATCGCGCTCGACGTTGTTGGTCCCTTACCAAGGTCTTCTTCTGGAAACAAGTACGCGCTGGTTGTGGTGGATTATTTCACGAAGTGGCCAGAGGTGGTTCCGCTTCCGAACCAGCAAGCGACGACAATTTCCACGGCCCTGATGAGGGAGGTGATAAGTCGACATGGAGTACCGTTGGAGCTTCATTCTGATCAGGGTCGCAGTTTTGAGTCAACTGTCTTTAAAGAGTTGATGAAGATGTTGGGGATAAAGAAAACGAGAACAACTCCCTTGCACCCTCAGTCAGATGGACTCGTAGAACGGTTGATACGGACCTTGATGCAGTATTTATCCCAATTTGTGGCGGAACATCAAAAAGATTGGGATGAGTGGATTCCGACATTTTTATTGGCCTATCGTTCTTCTCGACATGAAATTACTCAGAATAGTCCTTCAATGCTTCTGATGGGGCGTGAGTTACGTTTGCCTTTGGATCTGCTCAGAGGAACTATTGCCTTGGATCATAAAGAAGAAACTGTTTACATCGAGGAAACCAGAAAGAAGATTGAAGAGATTCACAAATTCGTTCGTCATCGTATGCGAATTTGTGCGGAAAAGACAAAATCCTGGTATGATTCTTTTGCGAGACCAATTTCCTTTATTCCTGGGGACAAGGTGTGGTTTTACAATCCCCGAAGAACGAAGGGAAAATGTCCCAAACTCCAGTTTGATTGGGAAGGACCCTACGAAGTAATGAACCGGTTAAATGAACTAATCTATCGCATATTTCACTCCCCAAAGTCCAAACCTAAGGTGGTTCACGTGAATCGTTTGGCCCCTTATGAACATTCACGGGGAAGTATCACCTAAGAAGGAAAGGATCTAGATTAGAAGACTGAGGAGGGTGTTTCTGACGTCTTCGTCCAAGAAGAAGGCGCTTCGTCGGACAGAGCCAGGGTGAGGTTTCTTTCAGCCACGGTAAACTTGCTGGCTACGCGTGTCTAAACGATGGAGGCACTGTTGTTCTCCTCGGAGGAGGAGGGCTTCCCCTCAGCCGGTGTCCCGTTTATTTTTAATTTTTGTATTCGGGGTTCTGGTCATCGGACTGCGTAGTTGTGGTATGCTCCGGACCACCAGACCATCGAGGAAAGATTTTGCTTGATGGCTGGGGAGCATCCCCCGGTGGAGTGGACCCGTCGGACTGGGGGTTTCTTCATCCGAGAAGACTTTGAGAGGAAGGCGTGAAGGCCCTGAGAATCAAGAGGAAGGGCGAAGAACAGTCAGGACCTCCTCGAAGAAAGAAGAAATCTAAGAAGAATTAGAAAATTTGAGCGCATTCTAAGATGACCTGTGCACACTGAACCGGCGTCTTGCTCAGGGTTTTTGAGTGGTTTTCCCCTGGGACGAAGGACAAATGTCAAGACGTTAGCTGCCTGTTGGGGCCACTTAGGTAAATGTTACGTCTTTGGTTTTTACCTCCTTTCAGGCAGAGGTATTAGAGAAGAGGTTAGCAGCCATGAGAGACTGACAGCACGAGGTTAGAGACCATAGCTTGAATTGGCTCGATGAGCGGCTTTACATGAAGATGGTCACAAGGATGAAGATGGTCGCGGTCGGGACGACCGCTTATTGAAGGAGGGGAGCAATGTTGCGACGGTGAGAAGTTTCCGCTCTTTCGATGCATCGACTGCTTCTTGATGTATCGAAAGAGCCATCGACTGCTCCGTCCGAAGCTGTCAACGAATCACGATGTGAAGCTATTCCAAGTTTCGAGCGGAAACACGTCACCGGATGCTTGAGGTCTCTTAGACAACCGCGCGGCTTTTGATAATCAGAATGTTTCGGGAACCCGACCTGTACGGATCTATTGCTTAAGAACTCCTTTGTAATCGAAATATAGACAGTCTAGTTTGCTTCGTCTCTATTTATTTTACGATGGAAAGTGCTAGCTCCACTCCCCGGCGCAACAATATATATATATATATATATATATTGTACCTTTATAAAATCACTCTGTCCTACCGACTTTCGAGAATTCGTTTAACTAAATCGATCAGCAATGCCGTGAATCTGTTTGATTTAACGACTCCTCTGTTTGAGGCGCATACAATCTATCTGCGACGCAAGTGGCTTAACGATCACAAGTCGGTTTTGACTTTACTAAATTGTACCGTTTTCGCGTAATGATTCAGTGATTTCGTGATCTACCCGCAAGCCGGTTGGAACGAGAGTGTCGATCCTTAGATCGACATCTAGATCGCTTAATCCTACGCATAGTGGGAGAAACCCCTTCTCTACGCACAAATCGCAAATAGGGAAAGGGATGCGTAGGCCACGCCGCTTCTACAGATACTCTTTCGATGGATAATCGATTTCTA